ACGTGTTGGAGACACGCTGAGCTACGACGTTTTTACTAAACCAGGAGGTTTTTATTAAACCAGGAGGTTTAACTAAACCAGGAGGGTTTACCAACACTGGTTCCATCCTCCATGACCAGACCAACCCTAACCCTTCACCGCATCCTGTGCTGACATTCATCTTCTCAGAGTTACTGAAAAGTCCTGAAGCTCCTGAAATATTCCCAACAGGTTCTCATATTAAACGCAGTGCCGCCGAGCGGTGCAGGACTGCTGGAGACCCCCTGCACCCTGACCAAGCCCTAATCCAACCCTGACCCTGTAGGGCTGATGGTGAAGTGTTCCCTGATGCGTTCATGGACCTCCCTGAGCTTTAAACTGTAACGTGTGATTCATGTGAAGCTTTCGTACCTTTTTGCCGAGATGGAACGGAACCACGCCGTCGTCCTCGGCGTGGAGGATCAGCACCGGGCAGGAGATGTGGTTCACGCTGCAGAGACAAGCATTCAGGGAACGTTTTCTATGGTGCTGCAGTTCCTCTAACAGCCACTAGATGCTGCTCTCAGAGGACTCATTGTGTCTGAACTGATACCAGCTGCCTGCGCTGTGGACTCTGAGCTGCTCTGGTCGCTAATCAGCTGTTTCAACACTTTAAGTCTCACAAGCTTCAGGAACTGTTGGCTGGACCCAAACAGAGTCCAAAAGTTCAACCACTCTCTGCTGAGAGACTCTGAGGTTCAGAAAAGTCCAGGAATGAGATGGACTGAAGGAGTTCCAGAGTCTCAAAGCCTCCCGTCAGACGAGCCTTCGGAACGTTTTTAAAACGAGCTTCAGTCTCTCACGAGGTTGTTGACAAGTTTCAGAGTTTCTGAAAAAGTTCCTGATGGAAACATTTCCTAAAAACAGAAAGTTCCAGAAGAAAATCTGAGCTGAGCTCCTGAAACTAGAAAGATAAAGTTAAAAACTTCACCAACACAGCAGGACCGTCTGTTTTATTTAGAAACTTAAAAAAAAGTTCTGTCAGGACCTTTGTCAGAAACCTTGAACTTCATCAAGAACTTCTGTGTGAAACCAGAGGATGGAAACGGTTCTGACTTTAAAACGTTCTTCATTCAACGTTTCTCACTTTCTACCAATAAACCGTTTAAATTGTTCCTGAGTTACTCGAAACTGTTAAAAGTCCTGAAACGGATCGGTCCAATGAAAGGATCAACGCGTTTTCACTTCAGGTCCAAACAGTTGAGCTGCTAGAAGTCCGTCAGTCCCTGGACGGGTTCTGACTCTGAAGATTCCTGAGTTCTGGAAAAAAGTTCTAAAGTACAAGTGTTCTGAAAACAAGTTTTAAATTGTACAGACAG